AACGAATACTCTCTCTCTCTCTCTCTCTCTCTCTCTCTCTCAATGTGAGGTTGTTAATTGGTATTGTGAGACAAGGTAAGGTTGATTTAACATGATCTGATGTTATGATTCCATGGGGCATGGGGTCACCAATTATCCACTTTGGAAACCAACTGTTATTCCCATAATCACTTAGGAAACAAAATTTGAATGGAAACATGATGGATCAAATATTTTTACTTGTCATCATTTGCATCTCTCACTCTTAACTTTGTCTGACTAATGTGATGAAGTTTATCATTGGCTTCACCTAAAGCATCATTGATGATGGCATTACATTTTCTTTGATAGGACAATGATCATTTCTTTTTCTTTTCATATTAATTTTTTGCTTTGATAGGACAATGATCATTTCTTTTTCTTTTCATATTAATTTTTTGCAATTTCAAGCTCAATCCATTCTCATAATGTAGTATCACAAACATGGATGAAAAAAGATAGAGATTTGAGGTTGTCGAGTTATGGTATGATGAAATTGAATTTTTTTTTTTTTCTTTTTTTCAGACAAGAGTGTCCATTTGTAGAAAGTATTTGCCTCCAAATATGATGAGAGAGAGAGAGGAGCTAATCTTTTAGCTCCTTTTTGTGTGGTAAATTATTCTTCCAGTTTCCCATCTATTGAGCGTGAACTTTTTGAGTGGATCGTCTATTTGCAATTTGGAATGGATACTAGGAAGGAGTTATTGTTGATGCATATTATTTGCTTAAGATGCATGTACAAAGAACTAAAATGAAAATGCAAAGAAATTCAAGTTTTTAATTTTGATTTTATACGAACCAAGATAAGTTCTCTAACAAGGATGAGAACTTTAAATTTTCTCTTAACCCGTCCCAGGCAATGAAAGGGCTAGGTTGTGCTAGGTAGGCAGCCAACACAGAACTTTATCAAAACTCATCAGGACTCCAGATATAAATATAGATAAGAAAGATGCTTTTTCTTGCTTTCTCTCTCTGTCTTATATTTAATTTATTGCATCTTCATTGATTTGTGTAAAAACATACATGATTTAGCCTATGCAAAATGGGTGATCTTTGTATAAGGTGCCCTCTTTATAATGTAGAAGTAAGATGCACCTCTAAATGAAAGGTAGTTTTGGTGTTGGAAACCTTATGATGGCTGATGGCTCCCTAGTTATAAAATTTAAAATTTAAAAAATGATACCTCTAAATGAATGGTAGTTTTGGTGTTGGAAACCTTATGATGGCTGATGGCTCCCTAGTTATAACATTTAAAATTCAAAAAATGATATAGATTGAGAAAATCTATAAGTACTTGAAAATCTTGAAAATAGAAAATCTAAATGATTTGTTACAAGATGTATTATTTTAAGGATGTAAAATTCTTTTTTCTTCATATGCATGCATATCGAGGTCGAGATGATAAAATTTGAGGGTTTTCCAACATTGGGGCACTCCCTTTCTAATGGATTTTTAAGGTGGATCTTACAGCAATAGTATAAGGTTGATACCTTATACGAACTTCTTCCATGCTAGATTGCAACCTTATATAAACTTTTTCCATGCTAGATTGCAAGCTTATATAAACTTTTTCCATGCAAGACTGAATGTTTATTTCTCATGGCATGGAGTGTGTATCAAACCCATGCAAAATTGAGATTTTTTCAGATCTGAAAGTAGATGACAAAATCTAAAAAAATACAAAAATAATGGCACATCTCGATTCTTTGTGCTTATAATATGGCTTACTTAATTTGCAATGAATTTAATTTTTCAAGTGAGACTAAAATTAGATATCTAAATTAAGGTTATCATGGAAGTAGTTGTACTCTGAAGTTAAACGTTGGGAGGTGGCATGTTAGGGGAATGTTAAAGCTTGTACATTGACTCCCTTGGTACAAATACAGGTAGAAAAAACAAAGAATTATATATGATAATTAGAGTTTAACCTTGATCAAGTGCAGGAGTTATTATCGTTGTACCCAAGACAATTGTCGTGTGAAGAAGCGAGTCGAGCGATTAGCAGAGGATCCACGAATGGTGATTACAACTTATGAAGGAAGACATGTACATTCACCATCTCATGACACTGAGAACTCTCCAACTTCATCCCATATTAACTTCTTTGGTTAGTTTATCTCTGTCCCTAATATACTGAAATGTGTCTCTGTCAAATTGTCACATAATGATCTTTTATCCCCTATGTGATGATTTGAAATAGCCTCAGATGAAGGTATAATAAAGGTGATTAGGCAAATGCCTTGATCATTCAGGTTTAATTGAAGCTTTAATTGCCCACTTGTAGCATGGAATGTATTTGTGGAAACGTAAAACTTTGCTACTTCAACATATATGTATATGTATAAATATTGTATTGAGATTTCATATCTTCATTAATGTCATTGTATTTGGTATGTGATGTGTGAATGATAAATTCCCCCAAATGAAGTATTTAACTTGAAGTTAGATTTTTCCTTCTTTTTTTCCTTTTGTTTTTTTGGGGGAGAGGGGTAGTTTAGCAGGAATCAATCTTGAGATATACAGCTGCTGACTACTCAAGCCCAAGCAGATTCTTATCTTAAAGTTATATTAATAAAATAGAGTTTAGATAAATAGAGAAATATTTTAACTTGAAGCTTGCCTTGTATTTATCATCACTTTAGGGCACGTTTGGTTCGCGTGAAAATATTTTCTCGAAAATATTTTCATATTAAAAAGTTCTCTTATGCGGTCAAGTATGAGAATATTTTCATACCAATTGGTCTTAGTATATCTTTTCAAACCAATTGTCAAATAATTGATGTAAAAATATTCCCACACTTGATTAGATAAGAGAATTTCTTCATGTGAAAATATATTCTAGAAAACATTTTCACGTGAACCAAACATATCATAGTTCTTATGATCATGTTTGGGCTTAAGTTCTCTATTTATGTGAACCATTGTTAGTGCACATAGAAGATACTTTGCGTGACTTTTTTTTTACGGAAGAATAACGCGGGAGCATTCGGTATTCAAACAGTTTCCTAGCAATTCCCCAACCATCAGATGTCAATAAAGAACGGTTGGGATGGTCGTTCCTCTTGCTCCAAATCCATCAAATTGTTTTATGGCCACACAAGACAATTGGGGAGTTGCTAGTGTACTGTTTGAAACGCATACGGTAGCATAGTCTACCAGCCCTTTTTCTTTTCTATTGATAGATTTTGGGGCTTATGTAAATGAAAAAAAGGGAATTAGTATAGTTTTCACTACAAGTTCATGAAATACTTTGGTCATTTTGTGCATCTTTTATATTACAGGACTACTTGAATCCTATTATTAAAAACATTTATCATCGGCAAAGCCTTTTACCAACTAATTGAGGTCGGCTACTATTATTAAATTATTAAACTATTAAAATAAGTACCTTGTCTAGATTTTAAAAGTAAAATTTTCAAATATGAGCATGTATACAATGCTTCTACTTTAGAATCACCATTTTGGTATTTAAAAAATAAATAAATAAAAATTGAGTATCTGAACTCTTAGATCTAGGTTTTTTTTTTTTGTTCATTCGCGCTTTTCTAAAGTGCGCCTCAAAGAAAGTTTTCTTTATTTATTTTTTTCTTCCTTTCTTTCTTTCTTTCTTTTTTTGGATTGGTTGCGATGTTGAATAGGTTACATCTCCAAAACCCTAGCTACGGTTTTGGGGAGCAAATTTAAAATGTACATTTTATATAGCAATTAATGCCAAGCAATGCTATAACTCAAGTTTGATTCCTACCACTGAACTACCCAAGAAAAAAACAAGTATACTTTACTCTGTGGAAAAATATAATCATTCCAATCTCGACATTAGTAGTAAATTTCTTTTTGGGTAAATTATTAGTAGTGAGTTTCTTGATAGAAACTATTGATTGCTTCTTTTCCCCTAAGTTCATATCTTTTATTTGTGTATTTTCTTTCTTTAAGAAGTTACTTTTCGCAGGTACTTTTGATCTACTTTTACATAGTGATGTATATTTGTCAATTTATGGTTCGTGTTTTTACTTGTTTATTTCTTTTCTAATCTTAGTTTCCTCTTTTCATTTTTTTTTTTCGTTTCTTCTTTATTTAATTATTCTTAAGTCTTTTTTTTTTTAATGTACATCACTCCCACGGAACATATGATTTTTTCAATTTAAAAATTATTTAGTAATAAGTTTCTTCATAGAAAATATTGACTACTTTTCCCCAAAATATATCTCTTATTTGCCTACTTTTCTTCTTTAAAGAAGTCCTTTTTGTATTGGTATTTTTGAAATATGTTTATGTCATGAGATGTATATACATAATTTTTGGGTACATCATCAAGTAAAAGGGTCACTTATTATAGTAGGAATAGAACTGAAGACATCATATTATGATCGACACCGCCCTAACTACCTATACCTCGAGTTCATTCCAATTTTTCATGATTTTTATTTGTATTTATTTCTTTTTTTCATGTCTTGGTTTCTTGTTCTTCGTTTGTTTGTTGTTTACTTTTTTGTTTTCTTCATTATTTAATTCTTTTAAGTCCCATTTTCTTTTTGTGTTGATTTGGAACCTAGTGAGAATAGAACTCTACAATTCACATTGTCGCATCCCACATGGTGACCACCTCTGTCTACAACGTATTCTATTCTTAAGAGTTTTTTCTATTGTCGTTTGTTCTCAAATCTCTATCTTATTTAATAGCTAAAGCGTCCAAATAAAATAAACGGTGTAGATTGCTGCAACCTTATTGCAACTTTATATGAACTTTTCCTTTAATATTTCATCTTCTTTAGACTATTAAATAGAAAAAGTTTATATAAGGTTACACCCTTATTCTATTGAAATAAGGTGCACCACAAAAATCCTATAGAAAGAGTGTTCCGGCTTTGGAGAACACTCCAATTGATCATGTCAACCTCAAGATATATAGACATAAAGAAAAACAAGACAAAAAAAAGAATTTCAAGTCCAAAAAATAGTTCATTTTTTAATAAATTATCTGGACCGTTAATTTTCAAGATTTTAAAGTGTTTAGTGATTTGTTCGATATGTACCATTTTATAAATATGAATTTTTATAACTATAGGATGAAAATAGATTTTAAACCATCATAAAGTTTCTGACACCGGAACAGTATCTCTAAAATTTTAGAGGTGTGCCTTATTTCTACATTATAAAAAGGCAACCTTTTACGAACCTCACCCTTATAAGCAACCTTTTACAAACCTCACCCTTCTAATTACTATCTTTTGTGCATATAGATTTGTTGGTATAAAAGAGGTTGCATATTGATCCAATGCGGATGTCGTGAAAGACTTTCTTTTTGGTTACCTTGAGAAGTTCATTTTTCTTTAAGATTTTGTTTTATTTAGTAATTTTTTTGAAGATTTTTGGAAAAAATATCGGGCTCTGGTTATTTAATTTAGGTAAAATGTGTGAGTCTGTGTGCCATTGGAATTAGGGCTCTTGGCTTGGTGGTTACAGTCATAGTTTACAAACCAGGTGCATTCCCTTGCCAGGTTGATTTTGGGAAAAGGTTCAAGCATATCTAGTTTATATTATTTTAAAAGAACAGATATTTTTAAAAAAAAAAAATAAATAAATTTAAAAAAAGAGAGTTTTTTGTGCGCCTGCTGATGCATAATTCCCCTCTCATTCTCATTGGATTTAGGTTATGAAACATATAGTAAATCACGGCAAATGCATTTACATTCATGTATTTGTAGCTCCAAAGTAGTACAGATCAGATAAATTTCAGAATTACTAAAATAAACAGCCCAAAAAAGTTAAAAACTAATTCTTTTTACGGTTTAATTCTTCTGCTTTTTAGAGTCATGATTGGGAATATGGGGCTCAAGACCATCGGCTCCTTAAGTTTTGAATGGTTTAAGATATAGAAACCTTCCCTAAAATGAATTTTGAAAGGAGTGGTTTTGTTGACTAACAAAACAGAACCATACCCAAATTTATTAGCTTCAAAAAAAAAAACATACCCAAATTTATCCATCGAATTGCCGAGTTGATCAGATTCAGTATCTGATCGATTCCGAACTATAGCTCATTTCGAAGTCAATACTCAAATTCCTAGAGGCCCTCACTAAATTATCCAAAAAAATACTAAGGCCCTGTTTGTTTACCTAGAAATGGGTATCTTGAGGAGATGCCTCTCCTGAAATTGGTATCTCCTGAAATTGGCATATCCTAGAGCATGGGTATTTGCTATTTGGATAGTATCTGGTAAGAGACTTGGAAGACACCTGTCCAATGTTTGGATTGCCTGGAAGATATGTCTCTTGAAAATTATATAGTATAATATAATACAATAATTATAACATATTATCTTATATATTTTAGAATAATGCATATATTACTGTATATTAAGTATATATATTAGTTATTATCATAATATTGTAAATTAATTATTATAATATACAAATGGCTTACATATAATCTATTATAACTATATATAATTAGGATAA